AAACAAGCTGGAAACCTACTAAACCTTGTACTCAAGTTCAAGATAGGTAACAACACTATTGACTATGTTTCTTCTTTTAAATATCTTGGTGTTTCCGTCCCTTGTACCCTACCTGCCATACAACAGCTAACCCGCAATGTACTGACAGACTGAGACCTCTTAGAAGTGTAGCGGGGTACAGCCCGCACTATGGTGCTAATATTAGAATTGTTAAAACAATGTACCTAGGCTATATAAGATCTCTGATAGATTACCACGCACCAGCCCTGGTCATTCGTCACGGGAAAGGCGTTGACAAGCTCGAGAAAATGCAAAATAAAGCCCTCAGAATTATCCTAGGGTGTCCCATGAGCACTAAAGTACTTAATATGAGGAAAGAACTAGGTATACCCAGTGTTAAAGATAGAATAATTGAAGTCAACCTCATGATAGCCCTGAGGCTTCTGCGTGGTGATCCTGATAACATTGTTTCCTCAAAATTGCTAGAATGTATGAACCATGGGACTACTGAGTCTAAATGGATCCAAACTACAGCTACACATATGAAGATGTTTGGACTGGACCACCTGTACAAAGTTGAGACACAACAGCGCTTCCTGCCACCCTGGCGGACAGTTCCCTTCGATATCACAATACCGACGTATCCGCCTAAAAAATTAATTATACAAAGCATTTACCTCCAACACACTGCCAAATTGAGAGCTCTTGAACACATACACACTCTACAGACTGATGATAATATCACACAGACCATCTACACTGATGGATCTCTAAACACCGCCTGTGGGAGGGCTGGAAGTGCTATTGTTGTGACTCAACCTGACGGTAATATAATTGAGAAAGGATTTAGAATTAACAACTGGGCATCCACTCTACAAACTGAATTAGTTGCCATACTCACAGCTATTAAATTCATTGAAACCACTGTTACTAACAGTCTCATCATCACTGACTCTCTATCCTCACTACTTGCCCTTGGTACCCTCGACTCAGGTTGTCACGCTCTTGTCTCTGAAGCCAGACACAAATATGCGTGCCTTGTTGACCGGGGTGTCAGGGTCAAAATGTTGTGGATCCCCTCTCACATAGGCCTCATAAAACATGACAGAGTTGATGCCCTCGCCAAACTCGAGTCTAACAAAGACACCGTTGAATACAATTTGGGTCTGTCAAAAAGAACCCTTAAAACTGTAATTAGGAAAGAACTTATAGATGAGTTTGACGCAAGTAGTAAAGTGCAAACAGGCACTAGTCGATCCATAGGTTACCATGATGAGATGTATCAAGTGAAACATGTATATGGAGCAAGTAACAAGATCACTAGATTACAAGATGTTGTAACCTTTGGCAGTATGTTCCTCAAGCAGATGTAAACAAAACTAAATGTAAAGTGTGTGGCCATACATATGGCCACACACTTTAACACTACGTCCTCGACTGTGTGAAGATAGAACCTTTTAGGGACAGGTCCAAGCACACTGTGTGTGAAATGGCACAACACTTCATCTCTAATGGCAAGATAGCCGACATATTAAGATTGCATCCACTTTTTTGCACTTAGTAACTCTATCAATTCTCATGTACAGAACCACATACACAATGTGCTTGAATACCTCCCACGTAAATGTGAATAACAAAGTGTGAGGCCAGACATACTGCCTCACACGCCTGTACTCACGCATTTGTGAATAAGTTACCCTTTATGTATAGAACTAAACAAATAATGTAAATGAAATACTGTGTAACTTTCAGTGCCATAATATCCTGACAACGGGGGTTAATTATTATGACCCTTTGTAAACCCTACTCTGTAATCCTTTTGCGCTACCGCTCAAGGGATGAGTGTGGGGTGCACAATAAAGTAGCCGCTGCAAGCGGCAAAATCAAAATCAATCACGCCTCCTTTTCACACAAGCTATTAACTTGTTAATTGTACTTATTATATTATTATTGTTCTTAGTTACTTAGGTTAATTGTATATTTATGTATGTTATTAATATGCATCATTGTCTTACTCTGTTAAGTCAAATCAAGAGTAGTATTAATTAATTATATAAAATATCTAGCAAATGTCCTGGATCACGTGATATGAGACGCTCTCCACAGCGTGTCCATTCTTTCTCTAGCCTTGACCCTTGTCTAGTGCCTTGTCCATTCTTCTGCAATGCCCTAGGGGTATCAGGTATTAGTGACACGTTTAGTTAGGCCTAGGAAGGGATCCTGGTGGTAAGGAATCTCCGGTTTGGTAGGAAATAACTATTTTGTAGGGATTGTTGTATGCAGTATGTTTCAAGCAGATGTAAACAAAACTAAAGTGTGTAAAATATACATATGGCCACACACTCTGAACACCACGACCTCGACTGTGTGAAGATAGAACCTTTAGGACAGGTCCAAGCACACTGTGTGAAATGGCACAACACTTCATCTCTAATGACAAGAAAGCCGACATATTAAGATTGTATCCACTTTTTTGCACTTAGTAACTATATCAATTCTCATGTACAGAACCAAATACGCAATGTGCTTGAATACCTCCCACGTAAATGTGAATAACAAAGTGTGAGGCCAGACATACTGCCTCACACGCCTGTTCTCAGCCTTCTTCGGGTAAGGACGTGTGCAGTCGGCGCTGCCCGCTAACGCGGCCGTGGTCTCTTGACCATGGAGACAGCTGCCAGCCCGGTCTGTCGGGCTCTCCCTTCCCATCTCCTCCTTCCCATCTGGATATATCAACAACCTCACACCAACAGTACAGTGCAAAGATTGACGATTAACCCACAAGTGATATAGAAAGTGGCAATTTAACTCGAAGGAAAAGCTCAAAAACACAGCAATACTGATTGTGACTGATCTGACCTAACCTGACCTCACAGCTTCACCTGACGTAACCTGAAGGATGGAGCACCCATTGCCCCAGCTACTGTCCTGGCCACACACCAGCCCATACGAGCACGAACTGATTGCTACAAGAACAGCCCAGTCCCAACCATTGTAAAAATTAGCAACACCTAATTATTATATGTCATATTTGTATCACTTATGTTACTTGTACATCATTTGTAAATCAAGAGACCCATTCCCACATAATTGTATATTTTCAGCCTTCCGGCTGCCATGCTCTTTCAATAAACCGTTAATTATTATTATTATTATTATTAAGTTACCCTTTATGTATAGAACTAAACAAATAATGTAAATGAAATACTGTGTAACTTTCAGTGCCATAATATCCTGACAACGGGGGTTAATTATTATGACCCTTTGTAAACCCTACTCTGTAATCCTTTTGCGCTACCGCTCACAAGATGAGTGTGGGGTGCACACAATAAAGTAGCCGCTGCAAGCGGCAAAATAAATCACCAGTTACTCACCAGCCGTAGTCACAGAACTAACAGCAGTCCCCAACTTATGAGAGAGGAACCCTAGGACGGAGAACACAACGAATCCAGCGAAGATTGACGTGGCGCAGTTGACGATGGGCACCAAGAGGGAGTCGCGGAGGCAGTTATTGTGGAACCTGTTGAAGGATCCCATGGTGACCAGAGTGCCCCAGCCAGGTCCCAGTGAGAAGAAGATTTGCACTGCCGCGTCGACCCATACCTGAAGAAGGAGGAGGTGAATGAGTGAGTGAGTGAGAGGGAGAATATGTGAATGTAATTTGTGGCGTATGATGTGTGTATGAGATATATGATGTGTGTATGAGCTGTATAATATGTGTATGTTATATTATATATGTATTCGGTGTATTACGTGTATATACCGTTGACTTACCCTGAGCTCCAGCAGTTTGTTAAAGTCAGGGTAGAGGTAGTAGACAATGCCATCATATGCGCCCGGCAGCGTCACCCCTCGGAAGAACAGAATGAACAGCATGACGAAGGGAAAGGTCGCCGTGAACCACACCACCTGCAACACCACAACCACAACTTTTATATGATACTACAAGAACACTTATATGACACTACAAGAACACTTATATGACGCTACAAGGACACTTATATGACGTTTGAAGGACACGACACTAAATATACACACGACATAGACACATTCAATAAACATCGCTTGGAATAAATCAGGAGTTTCACGAGTGTTTCAACGTCTTAGAGAGAGAGAGAGTTCCAACATCCATCACATCCACTAAACATCAAAATAAATGAAATAACAATAAAAAACTAAATGAATCAACATAAAACCGTTTATGTAAATATTGCTGCCCCAGTGCTAATGGCCGCTCATGTACACTACTACGTTATCATATAAGAACATAAGTAAATAAGGAGTCTGCAATAGGCCGGTTGGCCTGTGCATGACAGCTCCTGTCGAGAGTTACTACCACTCTCTATCATCCATGAATCTATCTAGCCTCCTTTTGAAACTTTCCAGAGTTCCCGCACTTACTACAAAGTTGCTAAGCTTGTTCCACTCGTCCACCACCCTATTTGTGAACCAGTTCCTTCCTATCTCCCTCCTTAACCTAAACTTATCCAACTTGAATCCGTTGCTCCGAGTCCTATCCTGCTCGGATATTATAAGAACTTTATCTATATCCCCTTTATTGATTCCTTTCACCCACTTAAATACTTCTATCATATCTCCCCGCACTCTTCGTCTTTCTAGGGAATGCAAGTTAAGTTTCTTTAACCTATCCTGATATGGAAGGTTTCTAAGTCCCGGAATCATTTTTGCCATTCTTCGCTGCACCGATTCTAGTGAATTTATATCCATTCTATAATAGGGGCACCAGAACTGAACCGCATAATCGAGGTGCGGCCTGACTAGCGCAAGATACAGTTGCAATAAGACCTCTGCACTCTTGTTACTTACACGTCTAGGTATAAAACCCAATACTCTGTTTGCCTTATTTCGAACATTAACGAACTGTTTTCTAGGCCGTAGGTCCGGGCTTACAAGTACCCCTCGGTCTCTTTCACAAGTCGACTTCTCTAGATTGATGTTGTTAAGGCTGTATACATTATAAGTATTTGTTCTTCCAATAATAAGTACGCTGCACTTGCTGGTATTGAATTTCATTTGCCATTTTTCAGACCACCCCTGCAGTTTATTTAGATCCTCCTGTAATGCATTTGCATCCTGCCCTGAATTAATTTGCCGCCCTATTTTGGTGTCATCCGCAAACTTGCTTATGTCACTGCTGATCCCAGTATCTAGATCGTTTATGTAGATTATGAACACGAGTGGGCCTAGTACTGACCCCTGGGGAACCCCACTGGTTACACGGTCCCACTCAGATTTAACACCATCTACGCTGACCCTCTGCGTTCTATCGGCGAGCCATGATTTTATCCAATTTATAACTTTCCCCTCGATACCATAAGCCTTAATTTTTCTCAGAAGCCTCTGATGCGGTACTCTGTCAAATGCTTTGCTAAAGTCTAAGTAAATAACATCGTAATTTTCGTCATTATCTACTACCTCGAAGACTTTCCTAAAAAACGTTAGCAGATTTGTTAGACAAGATTTTCCCTTTGTAAACCCATGTTGAGAGTCGTAGATTAATTTGCTTTTCTCTAGATGCGATCGGATGCTATCTGCTATAATTGATTCAAGAAATTTCCCCACTACTGACGTCAAACTGATCGGCCGGTAATTTGACGCTGATGCTCTGTCTCCCTTTTTGAATATGGGTACTACATTTGCCTGTTTCCACAAGTCTGGCACAACTCCAGTGTCTAATGATTTTGTAAATAAGTTTACGAGGGGTCCGCTAATCTGTTCCCTACACTCTTTCAAGACTCGAGGGAAAATTTCATCCGGCCCTGGGGATTTTGTTTTCTTTAGTTTATTTATCTTCTTAAGAACATCCTCTTTTCTGATAGTGATATTCTTTAATTTCTCTTCTTCCTTTCCCTTAAATATCAGTTCCACCTCTGGAATTTCATCTCAAATTTCTTCTGTGAAAACTGATAAGAAGTAGCTGTTCAATGCCTTGCTTATTTCTACACTGCCATTTATCACTTCTCCCCTCCCTGACTTTAAAGGCCCAACTTTGCACTTGACCTCTGTCCTATATACCTGGAAAAATCCCTTGGGATTCGCCTTGGATTCTCTTGCTATTTTGATTTCATAGTCTCTCTTTGCTTTCCTTACATTTTTCTTAACATTCCTAGATAGTTCATTATACCTATTTCTGAGCTGCTCCTCCCCTCCCTTTAATTTGTTATATATTCCTTTCTTTATTCCTATGTCATGTTTAAGTTTTCTGGTCATCCACCTTGACTAGCATTAATTCATCAGATACTTAACTCAAACACTAATGGAACTTTTTTTCTATCACTCTTTTTTTCTATATATCACGTTATTTTTTGTATATATCCCGTTCATTTTTTTTAGTCACGAAAATTTCCTCAATTTACTTAAAATGTTTTGCTTGATGTAAAATCTGGTAAAAATATATTTTTTAGGGGTTATCTGAGTATTAGTCTCCCACCCCCCCCCCCCCAGCTAATTTCACCTGGTGATTAAATGCCGTACTGTTTACCTGGGGATTAGGTCTGGTCAGGTCAAGTCAGGTTAGGATAATGTATGGCAAGTAAGGTTAGGCTAAGCCAGGTTAATGTCAAGTAAGGTTAAGTGTGGTTAAGTTAACATTAGGGTGGTTAATCTTCAGGTGAAATAAGCTGGTTCTGGCTAATCTTTAGGCAATCCATTTTCTTTTAACATTCAAGAGCCTTTGTGAGCTGCCAACAACATCAATCTTTTACAAAGTTTAATACAAAGAAAGTGAACGAGGAATGCTATTGGTCGATAACGGCAAGATATCAGGTAAGACGTAGTGATAATTAATTAACTTTGAGGTGTAAACTTACCTTGACTCACCTTGAATATGACATAGAGACTAATTAACCTTGACCACCCCTTTAACGCCTAGAATAAGACGTAAAAAATTAACCTTGGGTGATTTACCTTGACCCATCACCTTGAATAAGAAGTAGAGTCAACTAATTAACCTTCAGGTGTAAAGTTACCTTGCCCACCACCTTGACGCCCTTGAAGATGCAGAGGAACACGAAGATCCAGGTGAAGAAGGAGGCGCAAACAAGAGGGTACACGAACTTTCCCGGCTCCTCGATACCTCCGGATATTTCCAAGATGTAGTTACTGAAGGTGGAAGGTAGATAAAGTTACTGGTAGATAAAGTTACTGGTAGATAAAGTTACTGGTAGATGAAGTTACTGGTAGATAAAGTTACTGGTAGATAAAGTTACTGGTAGATAAAGTTACTGGTAGATAAAGTTACTGGTAGATGAAGTTACTGGTAGATAAAGTTACTGGTAGATGGCGTTACTGGTAGATGACGTTACTGGTAGATAAAGTTACTGGTAGATAAAGTTACTGGTAGATAAAGTTACTGGTAGATAAAGTCACTGATAGATAAAGTCACTGGTAGATGAAGTCACTGGTAGATAAAGTCACTGGTAGATGAAGTCACTGGTAGATAGATGGTGTGAAGGTTTTGAATCGTAATCAAGGACTTATAATCGTACTCAAAGGTCTAAGTCATCGTACTCAAGGTGATAAGTCATCAAACTCAAAGGGCTAAGTCATCGTACTCAAGGTGATAAGTCATCATACTCAAAGGTCTAAGTCATCGTACTCAAGATGCTAAATGATCATACTCAAAGGGTTAATGCAAGGGAGAGAAGCCAGGCAGGAGGAAGCGACGTGTGACCAGTAATTGACTTGCCACTTTAAATTTCCATTATTTACACACAAACTCAGGCAGCCACTGTAGTTACGGAGGCCTGGGAACTTAAACACTTTTCTTCATGTATATAAAGCGTTACACACACACACACACACACACACACACACACACACACACACACACACACACACACACACACACACACACACACACACCTTACCTCTCACAAGGCCAGTTTAAAGACTTTGTTAAGATCCAAGGGTGGAGGAAAAAAAGAGACAGACAGACAGGAAGACAGAGGTTGACAGACAGGAACAGACAGACAAACAGAAACAGATACAGAACGACACAGACACGAAGACAAAACAGACAAACAAAGACATAAACAGACACAGACAGACAGACACAGACATAAACAAACACAGACAGGAACAGACACAGACAGAAACAGACACAGACAGAAACAGATAAAGACAACACAGACAGAAACAGACACAGACAAGAACAGACAGACAGACACAGACAGAAACAGATACAGACAGACACAGACACGAAGACAGAAACAGATACAGACAGACAGACAGACACTGAGCTATATTATCTCACTCACTGGAAGAACTCGTCGGCAGGTGAGACTTTCTGATCTTCAGGAGGTAAAACAAATGGTGTGTCCTCCGCCAGGGTGGTGTTGAAGACCTCAGGAAACGTCTGGTGGAGAGGGAGACGGCTAGTGAGGGGCAGGTGGTGGTGATGATGATGTTGGTTGATGGTGATAGTGGTGGTGATGGTGATAATGGCGGTGATGGTGATGGTGATAATGGTGGTGATGGTGGTGGTGATGATGATATGTAATAATGATGATAATGATTGTATTCTCTCTCTCTAACTCACATCATGACAGCCTTCAGTATTCCAATAATTGTCACAGGAGCTCCAGGGTAGTGAGGGCTTCATAGAGTAGAAGATGTACAGGATGGGGTAGGAGACGATCACGCTGTAGTAGGTGCTGGCGATCACGTTCACCAGCATGGACGCATAGCCGAGACCTGTGGATGATAATGATGATGATAGGATGTTAGTATAATTAAGCCTTCATTACATCTATCATACCTGGTCACTGAGCTATAATCAGCCATCATACCAGGTAACTTGAATAATTATTTTAACTTGATATAGAAAACGAAGGAAAATTAACTTACAGAACTAAAAAAAATATATATTTGACTTCGAGACAAACTTTCAAACTTTGACTAAGAAAATATGACCGAGAAAAAAATTGTTTTGGCAAATGAGAAAAAAATTATTAAAAAAAGAAGAAGAAAATCTCGACTTTCATGAGGGCTTTAAAGACTAAGAGGAGGAGGAGGAGGAGAAGGAGGAGGAGGAGGAGGAATCAAGGAAGAAGAGCAGGAAAGGAGGGAGGCTGAAGGAAGAGTGAGGAAAAGGAGCAAGAGAAGAAGGAGGGGAGAAGGAAAAGAAGATGTGTAGGAGGAGGGGAAGTAGGAGGAGAGGAAGAGAAAGGAGAGAAGGTTTGGAGGAAGAGAAGGGTAGGAGAAAGAGGAGAAAGGTAATTGGCGTAGAGGAGAAGGGGAAGAAGAAAGGAAAGACTAAGAAGGAGAATAAGAGGAGCAAGGGAGGAGGAAGAGCAAGGAAGGAGGAAGCGAAGAAGCATGGTAAGAGAAACAAGAAAAGAAAGAGAGGAGAGGAAGAAAAAGAAGAGAGACAAGGCAGGATAAGCAGAATGGAGAAGAGGAATTGAAGGAGGCAGAACAAGAAGAAGAGCAAGAGGAAGAGGAGGAGAGAGGCAAGAACATTTTTAACGCTCGGGTGAATGAGGTCAAACTACGGCCTGAGACGCCACCACTTAAGCAAGGATTTCACGCCGTGGTCACCTTACTCTAAGACCCTTCTCAGCCAGCTTACTCTAAAATCTTACTCTTACCCTGACTCCCGTATAGAACCTAATTGTGTTTGTTTTTAAGCCTACTTTAACTCTAACCTAACCTAACACTAACTCAACCTAATCTAATCTAACTTAATTTAATCTAATCTAACTTAACTTAATCTAATCTAACTTAACATAATTTAATAACTGAACCTAACCTAACACTAATTTAACTCAACGTAACCTAACTAACTTAATTCAACCTAACCTAACGCTAACTTAACCTAACCTAACCTAGCCCCCAGGTAGCGTTAAGGCGTTGAATCCTCAGGTGAAATAAGCTTGGGGGTTATTACCAGGTACTCGGATATTCTAATCTTTCTATAACACATCTCTCTCCCTTCCACTCTCTACCTATCTTTCTCTTTCTCTCACGTTCTATCTATCATTCTCACTTACCTTTAAATATCGGACAGACATTGTAGAGAGAGACAGACCCACACGAACTGAACTGACCAACTGCAGACTCGAGGAGGAAAAGAGGCAGTCCCAGCACACACAGCATCAACAGGTAAGGGATGAGGAACGCACCTGTCGAGTGAAAGGTTAATTAGATGTTGATATTGTTGTTATTATCGTGATTGTTGGTGTGGCTGTTGTCGTTGTAGTTGTTATTGTTGTTATTATTATTACTATTATTATCATTATTATTATTATTATTATTATTATTATTATTATTATTATTATTATTATTATTATTATTATTATTATTATTTCTATCATCATCATCATCATCATCATCATCATCATCATCATCACCACCACCACCAACACCGTTGCAATTCACCAATATATGCAACACAACAAGTAGGCCAACTGTAGTCGTGTTCAGCAAACTACAAGACAAAAACTGAGGCCAATTTTACACATGCATATGCAACAAGAGACGCCTGCAAGAGTAGTTACAAAACACCAGCTGCTCGTTAACGTTGTAAATTTATGTCTTAAGTGTTGATAAGAATACAGTATTGCAATATGGCCATAACATTCTCAGTATTTATTCTTCCGTTTGCTTTAGGTTATACACTATGGTGCTCTTCTAATATAAACTAATGCACTTTAGTACCGTGATGTTTTGTGGTCATTTTGTAATAAGACTGAGATGAAGTTAAATAAGCGTCTGTAATTGGGTAGAAGGTCGGTGTGGTTCAAAACTGCCTCTAACGTCATTTGTTAAGTGTGAAGTGAGACTTGTTAACACATTATAATAATAATTTCAGTCATGAGATAGTTTAAACCATTGTTTTTTCTCTAATCTAAACTGACAACCTTACCAAACCTAACTTAGCTAACTTAAGCTAAATTAACCTAACTTAACTTAGCCTAAGCTAAATTAACCTAACCTATACTAACTTAACCGAACCGAACCTACCTTAACGCAGACTTGACCTATACTAACCTAATTTAACCTAAACTAACCCGCAGGTAGAATTAAGGTAGTTAGTTATCATCAGGTGAAATAAGTTAGGGGCTAATCTTCAGGTGAACCTTGATTATCTGTCTATTTACCTATCTTTCTATTAACCTAACTACTTGTCTATCTATCTATCTATCCCCCTATCTAGCTATCTATCTTCTGTTGTCTATCTGTAGTGGATTTCTCCCCTACAAACGCTGTTTGTCGCTGAGTAGCCGACTCCACCAATTCCCCAGTGTATGCCTCGTGGTCTAGGTCAACCAGCGCCGCCATACATCACGGAGCGGGGGTCAACTACTAAGCCACGCCTACCCCCCGCTATTTAAGACCTGACCTCGTGGTGACCTGTCTCTTTTCTACCTACACCAACCAGCAAGCAACACCTCCTCCTCCTCCGCCTGCCTGGCTGTCCTCGCTCCCGCCGGCGAGCATGGCGACCCACAAACATCCTCACCAACCAGCTCTCTCTACATCACGCTTGTAACCATGCTGCCTTCCCAGCACCAAGCTGCATTGTACATCCATTACAACATGTATATAAGAACATAAGAATGGAGGAAACTGCAGCAGGCCTATTGGCCCATACTGGGCAGTCCCGTTTACACCCAACCCCTATTGCTCATATAAGCATCCAACCTATGTTTGAAGCTATTCAGCGTATTCGAGTTAATGATGATATTTGGTAACTTGTTCCATTCATCCACTACTCTGTTTCCAAACCAGTGTTTACCTATTTCCCGCCTAAATCTAAATTTGTCTAATTTAAAACCCTTGTTACGAGTTCGCTCCTGGTTGGATAGTTTGAGTACCTTTGTAATGTCCCCTTTGATTAGCCCTGCCTTCCACTTGTACACCTCTATCAGGTCGCCCCTCGCTCTACGTCTCTCGAGGGAGTGCAAATTAAGATGCTTTAACTCAAGGTTCCTAATGCCCGGTATTAGTCTTGTCATTCTCCTCTGAATTCTTTCCAAGGATTCTATATCCATTCTGTAATAAGGTGACCAGAACTGAACTGCCTAATCCAGGTGTGGTCTCACAAGAGCAAGATACAGTTTTAGGATGACCTTGCTAGTCTTGTAACTAATACTCCTTTGTTTGAACCCAAGTACTTTATTAGCCTTGTTACGAGCAAAAACACATTGTTTACTTGGCTTAAGGTTCCTACTTATCATTACTCCTAAATCTCTCTCGCAGTCGGATTTCTCTATGGCATCGTTGTTCATCTGGTATCTGGTTTCCCTGTTTACATCTCCTATACTGAGTACTTTACATTTGTCCACGTTGAATTTCATCTGCCATTTTTCAGACCATTCGAAAAATTTGTTTAGATCTTCGTGTAGTTTTGCTGAGTCCTCGTCAGATTTAATAACACGTCCTATTTTAGTGTCATCAGCAACTTTACTTATGTTGCTGTCTATGCCGATATCTATGTCGTTTATGTATATAATAAATAATAATGGTCCAAGTACTGAGCCTTGGGGAACTCCACTTGTGACGTTGTTCCAATGGGACTTATTGCCGTTAATGCTCACTCGCTGTTTCCTGTCCTGTAACCACGCCCTAATCCATTTAAGGATGTTACCTTTGATGCCATGAGCTTCTACCTTTCTAATTAGTCTTTCGTGGGGGACTCTGTCGAAGGCTTTGCTAAAGTCAAGATATACCACATCATAATTGTGCCCCTCGTCCACCTATTCGAAAACTGATGAAAAGAATGTTAATAGATTAGTTAGACAAGAACGTCCGCTTGTGAAGCCATGCTGGGAATCATTGATCAATCGGTGCTTCTCCAGGTGATTTCGAATAGAGTTTGAAATGATTGCTTCCAGTAATTTGCCTACTATTGATGTTAGACTGATTGGGCGGTAGTTAGAGGATAGTGATCTATCCCCCTTCTTGAAATTCGGTATTACATTCGCTATCCTCCAGGATTCTGGTACTACGCCTGTTTTTAAGGATATGTTAAACAACTTTGCTAAGGGCATACTAAGCTCTTCCTTACATTTCTTTAATACTCTGGCAAATATCTCATCGGGACCAGGTGACTTATTAGGCTTTAGTTTGCGTATTTGCTTACTAACATTGTTACTAGTCACTACTATCTCGCTTAATTTGTTTTCTTCACTATCTCTGAATAGAGTCGGTGCCTCGGGTATGATGTTTAAATTTTCGGTGGTGAAAACTGTTGAAAAATATTTATTCAAATTATTGCTCATTTCTCTGTCGTTATCAGTGAGCTCGCCGTCGTCTGACCGTATTGGTCCAATCTTTTCTCGTGTTTTAGTTTGATACATTTGGTAGAATCCTTTGGGGTTTGTCTTCGCCTCCCTTGCTATCCTTACCTCATTATTCCTCTTTGCTTTCCTTATCTCGGTTTTAACCCTACTCGCCAATACCCTATAATAGTCCCGGAGGTGAATTTCGCCACGATTTATCCTTCTACCTATAGCCTTCCTTTGGCCGATGATGTTCTTTAAATAATTATTTATCCATTTAGGGTCATTGTTGTCTGATCTGAGTTTTTTGTATGGTATGTTCTGCCTTTGTGCATTAAGTAACTCACTGTTTAAATTGTCGTGGAACTCGGCAATCTCTGATCTCGTTATCAGGTCGGTGTCATCTGTCAGGTTCACGGCCAAGCGCGACATCCCCTCTCTCAGCTGCCTCTTTAAACTGTCAAAGTTCGCCCTTCTGAAATCTGGTACTTTAGTGGAATTTTCCTTACGTCTGCCCTGAAAATCTAACTGGAATCTAATTTCTTTGTGGTCGCTGTTTGCAAGTTCGTTCCCTACCTCGACACTGCTAATGAGGTTTTCTCTGTTTGACAGAACTAAATCGAGTATATTATTACCCCGTGTGGGTTCGGTTATATGTTGACTTAGAAAACAGTCCTGGATCGTCTCGAGAAAATCCTCTGATTCTGAGTTACCTGTAAGGTCAGTCCAATCTATTTGGCCAAGGTTAAAGTCGCCTACTATACAGACTTTGTTGTGTATGGAAGCCCTGCGCATTTCATCTCAGATAAGTCGCTCATTGACTCTACCGTCGATTAATTCTATCCAAATTGTTTCTGTATTCCGCTCAGTTTTTATTTCCTTATTTATTTCACACTTCAGATTATCCCTAACATAGATTGCTACTCCGCCTCCTTTCCTGGTCTGCCTATCGGTATGGAACAGTTTGTAACCCGCAATTTGGTATTCGACTGGTAACTCACGTGTGTCTAGGTTGATCCATGTTTCAGTGAATGCTAGTATATCGATTTTTTCGGTACATACCTAGGCCCTAATATCATCCATTTTGTTTCTCATACTTCTACTGTTCGCGTAGTATACATTTAAGTTAGTCGTGTTCTGAGTCCTCCCTTTACCGCGTTTAGTTTTAAACTCCCTGTCTAATTTAGTTTTGTCATCATTCCTAACACTATTTCCCTGTAATCTTTCACTTTGTTTACCCGCTCCCACTGCAGTCTCCTCCACCCCGTGCTCATATGTTCCCCTAGCAGTTTAAAGACTTCGATATCTTTTGAACTGCCCCCTCTAGAGCTCCAGCCAGGGTTGCTACTCCATCCCTAGACAGGTGCACCCCATCCCTAGCATAAAGGTCCCTTCTGCCATAGAAGTTGTCCCAGTTGTCAATGAATGGGACTGATATTGACTTGCAATATCTGCCAAGACGGTCGTTGACACCAACTGCCCTTGACAACCATTCACTGCCAACTCTCCTTCTAGGCAGGACACCGCACATTGTGAGTTTCCTTTCTCCATCCCATCCTGAGTGTGAACCAAGCATCCCATTTCTCCACATATCTATCTATGAATATCTAATCCATCAAGCGTGAATCACTCACTTCCGGGTCTCCAAGATATTTTAAAGTACAGTACAGTATCACTCTGGTCTTACCAAAGGATCAATTCAATAATGCAGGTGACCTTTACCTTGATGGCGGCTGACCTTACAATGAGCAGCCGTCTTTTGCTTGTCATATTTTTGTTACAATTTCCTCTAAATTAATGTTTGTGTGTTCATCAAGAATCTATGTTAGTTTTGTATACCTGCATAATTCTTTCGTCACAACTAATATTTACAATAGTTTCTCTTAGTGCATTTTCTATAAAGAACCAAGAGAGAAAATGAGAAATTCCCGGAGTGCTTTAATTATTTATGGTAAACTATTTCTGTAGATATTTATCATTTTTAACATTTATCAGGTGAAATAAGCTGTTGTTAATCTTCGGGTGAAATAAGCTGGGGGTATACTAATCTCCAGGTAAACCAAGGTGTGGGGGGTCTAATCTGCAAGTGCTCCGTGTTACCTCCACCGTTCCTGTAGCACAAGTATGGAAACCTGTACACATTGCCAATCCCGACAGCATAACCAGCCAGAGAGAGGAGGTAGTCCCACTTGTTGCTCCAGTTACCCCTCTGTTTGTTCTCATCCAGTGCCTCCACCATCTTTGTTGTCTTCTTGTTTATTAACACTACGGTTTACTCCTGAAAGTAAATAAAAACAGTGTTTATCATTGAAATTATAGCATTGATAGTTTTTGTGATTAAAAAGGGACATTATAAATATTACTCATAATATAAAAAATCTAAATTGTTGTGTGGATGACAGCAAGATGTCAAGGACTGGTTTTCGTACAAGTCAAATATATAGTTAATTTTATAAGATAAAATGAGTTTTAGCTTTCGTATAAGAGAAATACGACATCTAGTTTTGAAATAAAAAACATATAAATCTAGCTTTAGTCTGAGAGAAACAAGGAGATTTTACCTTTCGTGTGAGGCAGAAACAAACAACGCATTTGACTGTTACTCAAGATAAAGAGAGCGAGACATTTACTCCCCGCTCCCTCCCTTGTCAACAAGGCTAACAGCACGACGATCAGATCGCAGACGATAATACTCAAGTTTTAACTGGTAATATTAAGACTGAATTGAGATCTATAGGGTCTCCCAGTTGACCCTAATTGACAATCTCCTCTTTTAATTTATATTCCCTCGACATATTTTGCCACCCATGATCTCTCTCTCGAACGCCACGGGTGTTTCAGTCAACCTTCACATAATTTTGTCACAAAAAGTTTTGTTTTGACGTTGCTTGCTTTAGACTAGACTAGAGAGAGAGAAGAGAGAGAGACTATTATACTTGATTTTTAGGACGAAAGACACAATAAATGATTTCTCCTGACACACACACACACACACACACACACACACACATTCCCTGGATGATTACAAATGCTCTTCCTAACATCAAACAATTATCAGGAAAAAATGACAAAACTACAGTAATAAGTAATATACATTAAAAAGGAATACAAAAAAGTGTTATCCAAGCTGTGTACACATCACAGTGGTACAGTAATGTGTTTCTCTCTACATTTAATAGTACGTCATACTGAACGTTTTCTAACAGCTTCACGTCTCCTCCAATACACGTTTTCTAAAGCTGTTGGTACTGACGGAATAAAGCCTTAATTGTTTACTAAGACCCAGAGGAAAAAGTAGCGCTGTTTGTTTGTTTGATTTTTATGGTGGATATTCCAAATCGGGTAGATAATTTGTTATTAAATACGTATATACTCTAACTACTAAAGCTAATTAATTAAAGTTACACCACGTTTGTGTACAAAATTAAATTAATTATCAAACACCATCATTATTTTATGTACTTTGTTATTCAATTATACTGTCTGATATTCGTTTTATATTCATCTATATACATATGTAGCAAAGCACAAAGCAGGGATAGGACACACACTTGTAGTTTTCTCTCATTTATTTATTCTAGAAATCACCCGAGAAGGAAAAGGCTGGGACCTAGATCAGACATAACTAGTTATTATACATTAGTGTATTACATTATACTTACAAAACAAGCATCAACTGTTGTCATATTCACATATTGGTACCACACAGTAGTAGGAATTAAACAATAAATAATAAACCCAACCCACCAGCATAACACAGGGGAGTGGCTGTTGTTGTCGACTCACTCCAGGGTGAATGTCTGTAGAGCAAAGCTAGAATTAGCCTTATTCTGGCTTATAGACTACCTCCACGAGATCATCACATTTTTCATATAACATTTATTATGCTCAATCTATCAAACACACCCTATCAGAGCAAGAAATACGTGGGACACATCTGTTACTGTGCCCACCCGACGCGTCTTTGTTATGTAAACAACGCCGTAGCGTCTCTCCACCCTGGTCTGGGATCATTCGCTCCTGGGCAAATTCCATTTCAAACCCACAAAATATATTTAGGATTTTCTCCTCGGAGCTTACAAAAATACATATCCATATTGTAACAACCGCGGTCTTACACGTCAGTTAGCGCCAAAATCAGATGATTCATATTTCGCTCAATAGCCCACAAAACATGTAACTCTGCTTTCGTTTGAGTCCTCCATCAGAGGAGTCCGTTTTCTCATCGCTTCAAGACACCTCAGTCCTCTGTTATCCCATTTTCTCTGACTTACTGAAACCAACCTCTCTATAAAATGAATTTGAGTGTGAGAGAGAACACCCTTGTTTTGAGTCAACTTAGATATGACTGTTTACAGATGGAACATTCAAGATCCATTGTGAGTGGTGTTGAACACTTCAACTGTCCTTATTGTTAGTAAAACGTGTCAAGTGAGTGTCGAGTTTGCCAGCTAGAGTGGCGTATTTTATGTCGTCCGTGGGGATATTCATGAGTTTCTGATCGCGCCTGAAGTTATATCATTTTGTCGCCCCGACATCAGAGAATCTGATGTTTATAGTTTAGTTAGTGTCAGTTGTCTATTTAAGAAAGTCATTAATCTCCTGAACTATTCTGTCAACTGGTATAATCTCCAAGATCTAGCTCTCCCCGTGAATAGCTCCTTGTTCGCCTCAGGCCTGAGCTTGCAGAATTAATGTTATCAACGTGTATATTCCACCTTTTCCTGGCAAGCTCAACCTCTGATTAGATTATATGAATATACATAGGAAATTACCCTGATCAAGAACACCGGAGTTCATAACTAAGTATACGGTGATCCAAAATGGTAGAGAAGTTATGTTGTTGGTAAGATCGACCTTTCTGGTATGAATACGGAGGCCCAAGCTGCCCCGCGGGTGCACGTACGTATATACCTCTACACGAGGGAGAATCACGCATTCGTGACTCTTCCTCAACGTTTATCCAGGTATGTAAACGTGTGTTCCCCGCCGCCTATTAATTCAGTTTAACTTAGTCAATTTTGTGAATATCAGTGTTCATGTGTTACCATAGTAAATTCTGTGCCAATTAAGTCGAGTAACATAGAGATTTAGATATTGTCTGGACCGTTGCCAGACTTATGTTTTGTATAGTTGAAGTTAAATATTGACGCATTTGTGACTCTTCCTCAACGTCTCTCCAGTGTGTTGAGCTGAATACTCATCGGCTACGTTGGGTCTGTAGCCGGGTTGGACGATGCCGTTAATTCGACAGGATTAAACTGGGAAGTCCGTTTCCTGCAAATCAGGCGCCAGCTCCCTTGGCGTGTGTCGGTCTACAACCGACCCCTAACAGCGATCTTCAATTGTTGTAGAGACCAGTGTAGGGGTATCGAGATATGATGTTGTCTAGCACTCAGGATGGAAGGAAACTCTAATGTGGTTTTCTTATATAATATAAGTTATATGATAGACAGTCTGGTGCTGGAGGTGCTGGAGGAGGTGTTGCTTGTTCAGGAAGATGGGCAGAATGAGAGTTGGTTGGTGAGGAAGCTCAGAGAAGGACAGCTGGTGGGTCGCCATGCTCGCTGGCGGGAGCGAGGACCGCCAGGCAGGCGAGGAGAAGCGAAGGGAGCCAGGCAGCGGCGGAGGAGGAGGTGTTGCTTGTTCAAGAAGAATGGTCAGAATGAATCTCAATGGAGAGACAGAGCTTATATACCCAGCAGCCGCTATGAGTCATGTTGGGAAAACCCGAGAAGTCGCCGGTTCCTAGTTTCGTTGCTAAGATACGGTAACATCTGGTTGGTTGCTAGGGAAGGCGGTAGCAGGTGGTGGCTGTGGCTACGCAGTTGTAGGCAGTTGTAGGGGAGACGTCCACTACAATACTCCCCCTTCCCTCCAGGCGGTGTAGGAGACTTGTTGTCTGTAGAGTTGCTTAGCACATGTGAGGCAGACCGGGCGGTGCATGCCTCATGTGAGACAACGGCGATGGCGTGATGAGCCGATCGCTGAAATACAACTGTCTAGATACACACTATCTGTGGGAGAAGAGAGGGAGAAAAAGGGTGTGTGGAGGCGATGAATGTTGTGCTTCCCTCACGACAGGTACAGGGTCGTCAGATGCGCCTGCTGGGGTGTGTGTTTGCCTGGGTCAGGAGCAGGGGCTGCATCAGCAGAAGCGGATTAGGGCTCGTGACAGCAGCTGGGTCCACGACAGCAGCAGGGTGCAGGACATAAGCAGGGAGTACCTGAGGGAGAAAAGAGGGGTGTGTGTGTGGGTCCGGATTCAGGAACAGAGGCCGCGTCAGGGGTTACTGCTGGGCCGGGGTCGGCGTCTGAGGCAGGACGGGTGTGCTGGGGTCGTCAGGATGTTGTGCGTGGGGCAGGAAGAGGAGCCGGTGTCTGCTTGAAGGCTGGGAGCGTGATCAGTGTCTCCTCCATCCTGTGTGAGTGCTAATCTCCGGGAGTCACCATTTGTAGGGGTATCGAGATATTAATGTTGTCAAGCACTCAGGATGGAAGGAAACTCTAATGTGGTTTTCTTATATAATATAAGTTATATGATAGACAGTCTGGTGCTGGAGGTGCCGTGTGGTGGGGAGCTGCTCAATAGAAGACGTTCGGTGAGTAGCGTGTTGAAGGAGGTAGATGTGCAGGAGCTTCGTTAGAGAAGATGTTGCCTGTTGCTGGCCTCCTGATTGAATGAATGCTAACAGCGTGGAGCTTGCTGGAGGAGGTGTTGCTTGTTCAGGAAGATGGGCAGAATGAGAGTTGGTTGGTGAGGAAGCTCAGAGAAGGACATGCTGGTGGGTCGCCATGCTCGCTGGCGGGAGCGAGGACCGCCAGGCAGGCGAGGAGAAGCGAAGGCAGCCAGGCAGCGGCGGAGGAGGAGGTGTTGCTTGTTCAAGAAGAATGGTCAGAATGAATCTCAATGGAGAGACAGAGCTTATATACCCAGCAGCCGCTATGAGTCATGTTGGGAAAACCCGAGAAGTCGCCGGTTCCTAGTTTCGTTGCTAGGATACGGTAACATCTGGTTGGTTGCTAGGGAAGGCGGTAGCAGGTGGTGGCTGTGGCTACGCAGTTGTAGGCAGTTGTAGGGGAGACGTCCACTACACCAGCGTTACCCTGGGGCACTCCTCACAGTTACATGGGCCTAAGTATTATTGTATCTTGTTTGGGGGATAACTAGCAGAAATATAGTATCCCAGGTTAAGTATTGAACCACTGAATGAGAGTTAAAAGTGCCATGTTGTTCCCTGCGAATTAACAGGAGGTATTGTATGTTGAGATAATTGTGGAGTTGTCCAGTGTGTTATGTATTAATCGGTAGTGACCATGAAATGATAATCTGAGAGTATAACGATATAACCAAGAAGTGAAGAGTTAATTTGTTACTTGTTAAAGTAAGACCTGAGGGTCCAGTGATATCTGGTGTATACCAATTACTGAATCTCATTTGTCAGTAATAATACCACAATTGTCTAATGAAGTGATAAGTATTTGGAGGTATTTAATGAGGTAATAAGTTCTTGAAGTGTTTGATGACTTAATAAATAAATTGCGGTTCTGTTTTGTCTGGGTGAATTGAAGTAACATCTTATTCACTCACTGTGTTAATAAATATTGAATTAGTAATCTACGAGTATCACCACTCTATCCTTTCCCACATTGGTTCTCAGAAAATAACTGACTCGCATGCCTAGAAGCTCGCTACCTATCAGTTAACTAAGATATGTTATATTCTAATAAAATTCTGGGTGGTGGCAGGCTACCGTTGTAAGTATAATAAGTGTGGTAATAAGAGAGACATGGTTTCCCAGGTTAATCCATGGTTTAGAATATAACTAGAACAAAATATATGGAAGAGAATATAATATATATGAAAGAAAATGAAAAGAAAGAACATTGACTTGGAAAATATAAGCAGAGAAGCATAAGAGTTACTTATATAAGAATATAAGGTATATAGAGATAAAGAACATATAAGAATATATAAGAATACGTTTATATGTAAAGAATTGAAGAAGGATAACTATATAAAACAGGATACTCATTGGAAAGAATGCTACAAAGAACATATAAGTATATGAATAAATAAGAAGACTAAAAGAAAAGAATATCTGGATGGTAAATTATAAAATGAGAAGAACTCGGCCCGTTACATCTATACATATCAAAGTACTGAGGATGGCAACTTGCATCGTACCCTGACCCTGAGCAAACGCCATAAGCCTTCCCACGACACCATGGTTAAAAATAGATTCGTCAACCCTCTTAAATTGTAATTATTCACTGTATAATACATGAACTAAATTACGTGATTACTGTCTAGAGATTTTAATTGCTGATGCGAACACACATAACGACAAAATCCTGGGTTTGTATTCTGAAAGGTTCTTAAATTATTCTTAAAAATTGCTCTCAAAGTTTTCTATGTCTGCTTTAACAGGAACGGACACCACTTAATATTCTTATATAATTCAAACCTGGTTCATTAGTGAAGTAAAGGAGAGTGGTCCTAGATGTTGCTGCTGGGTTGAAATTAAGTTTTACCATTTCAGTTTTCCTTTCGTGAAATTCTGTACCACATTGCATCACAAAATGAGGAAAAATTAGTACAAAAAAATTGATAGGAACATACAAGAAAAAAAGTAGCTAATAGTGTTGTCTAGTTTATGAAACTACAGTCCTTAAACCCCTTCCACTGCAGAGACGCCACTTAATACTTTATTTCGCTAACGCCAGACAGTTCTATTCAGCTCAGAGGCAACCCGTACACAAGGGGTTTAGAATACGTGCTTAAATATTTCAGTTCTTGAAGCAGATAAATAAAAGCAACAACACACACACAAGGCTTCCTTAAATACCGTATACCACCATGAAGAAAGAGGACACAAGGTCGCGCACGGCTGATGGCTGCAACAAGCTTTAAGAACCAACTGATTTACAAGAGGGAACAGCTGGTGGCCTGTGAGTAAGGTGCACTTTCCTCCAGACATGTCGCCCGTTTTGTTGGTCGTTGGCCAAAACGTCCAACAAGCAGCAGGATTTCGGCTGTTACTAGAAATGGACAACGGTTTGTTGGAGATCTTTTATGGCCGGATTAATGCTCAAATGTGCTTAATATAATTTCAAGTAATAATTGAAATAAATAACGAAACAATGATAATTTAAAATATAACACGAAAATGGTGACATATTTCTATTTATTCCTCACTTTAAAACTTCTTTAGTAATCAGAGACGTGACCGATCGCCCAAGAGGCTAACGAGCCGATCAGTGATGAAGAGGATAAATGTAAAAGTAAAAGTATTATTAAATCATTATTCAGGGTCTTGTTTAACCAGCCAGCCGCCGCCACTTTTAAAGAAACTTCACGACGCATCCATTGTATTTCTTTAGCCTTTGCAGACGCCTCACTTGCTTCAACAAGTGAAGAACTATAGCACAATCCTGCAAGGCCTCAACTGTAGTAGCGAGATCCATGTCGAACCTCGTCTAGACACTTTGTTGTTGTTTTCGTTGCGTTGGGCAGATGCGCTAACAAACATAACGCCATCTGTGAGGGAGTTACTACACTACGTGTCTGCTGTTCAACACCTCAGCTCACATGATCTACAGTACGTGTGTAAACATTAATCTGTATGTTCACTGTATATGTTCCTTCACCTTTCTCTAATGAAGGCTTTTGTTAAACCACCAATGTATGTAATAAGTCATTTATGTCCAATGTATATTTTCAGCCTTAGGGCTGCAAACTTTTTCAATAAACCGTTTATTATTATTATTATTATTATTATTATTATTATTATTACTATTATTATTATTATTATTATTATTATTATTATTACATCCCGATGTGAAGCAAAACATCTCTGTTTTGCTGGCCGGACAGTATTTGCCAAACACGTTTGGAGGAAAGTGCCCAGTGTGCCGCCGCCTTAACACACACACACACACATAGGCAAACATGCAAGGTGGACAGCCCACCTGCTATCAATCTCCCTCTTTATTTCCCACTTCCCAACCTTTACCTTCCTCCTACACTGTCTTCCACCTTCCTGAGCTAATGGCTCTCTTCTCTCCATCCCATCATCATCATCATGCATCCTCTTGACCAAATCAAGGCTTTTTAAGTTAGGTAATTTGTCCTTTCCCAGAGAAAATGGATGGTAAAGAAAATAAATTAAAAAAGCTGCTATCTGTACGTCTTATATAACATTAATTAATTTAAGTACAGTACCTGAGTTTCTGAGACACACGTGCAGGACAGAAAGTGTAGAGGCTATGCAGAAGATCCAAGACTCCTAAAATTATACTGAAATATGAGTGACGTTCATCCCTCACGGCTTGTTGCAAGATACTGACTGGCATGGCTGGTTGGCTCTCTTGACTCGGGGTCTCGGGGCAATAAGTGGGTCATTGGGAGTTGAGATAGAAGATAGAGGAAGATCTTTTGTATTTCCCTATCCTTTCTCCTTCCCTCCCCCTCTCATTTATTTCTTATGCTCGTGACCTAAACTATAAACAAGTGTAGATCAGTAAACCTTAAACCTAAACACCGCCTTTAACGTAATACAATCGACTCCTGATTTATGCATAGCCTTAATCACAACAAAAATCATGACTGTACTTAGCCTTTTGGAGGCTTTTGCCGACCCGAGTATAGAATCGTGAACTGTCTTCTTTGGTTATGTGGTCGGTACTCCCGTGTGATGATTATTGTATTAACTTGAGGTGTTACAAGATGAATATACGCTTCTGTCGGGAACGCTAACTTAACCTAACGCTAATCTAACCTAACGCTAATCTAACCTAACGCTAACCTAACCTAAACCAAACCTAACACTAACCTATCCTAAAGCTAACCTAACACTCATCTAACATAACCTAACGAGAGAGAAAAGCTTGAAACTAGATTAAAAATTCTCTACTGAAAATACACAAAACACTCATATATGTCAAGAGATAACGGATTATAACATTTAAACCTCCAAATAACGGACTTCTCTCTCCATATAATCCGTTAAATGGGGGTTCACATCTAACGGACCCTCGATATAACGAATTCTCTCTCCATTTAGTCCGTTAAACGAGGTTTCACTGTACATTATACAATCTTGTCTAATTGCCTTGTTTAACTTTAACTTAGCTAACAGACAGACACGCACAGATGAGCTGCAGGATAAAGATGAGATACTACATTGTTTCTTGACACAAATGCACCATACCCAACCCTATTTTGTGACGCAACCCTGACTCACTTACTATCCCATGACGTAACCTTGAGTCATCCCTAATATCCTGTGACGCAACCCTGACTCACCCCTACTACTCTGTGACGCAACACTCACCCTCCACTACAATGTGAAGCAACCCTGGATCAACCCCTACTACCCTGATACGTCTCCCTTATCGATTGAAACATTGATTGAAACATTTTATTTAGCCAGACAAATACAGATACAGAGTGGATAATAATAACAATATTAACATGGCTGAGCCAGTTGAGAACCTGAGCTCTCTTTGAGGTACCTGATATATAATATACATTTATCTCAAGGAAGTATTATGTAACATTTAGTATCATCTGGAATAGTACAATAGCATGGTAGTAATAAGTAAATTTCATAATGTTACCACGGTTATCACTTCAATATTAATTATTTATTTTATTATTTATTTTTATTTTTTATTTATTTATTTTATTTATTTTATTTGTATTTATTTATTCATTTATTTATTTATACATACATATACACATACATATATATATATATATATATATATATATATATATATATATATATATATATATATATATATATATATATACATATACATACACATATAAATTAGAGTGGAATTTAAAAACATAAGTATAATGGGGAAGCAGTACAACCTGGGTTGTACAGTAATAAGGTTGAACAAGAGGACAGATCTTTCAGGATTATGTCTAGTTGGCAATTATGTTTATTGCAATGGTAATTACTTATTTATTTACATGATAATTTCCGATAAAACGGATTTGATGGTGCAATAAAAGCAGGTACTGTAAATATAGTAGGTGATACAAGAAATATTACTACTTCGACAATAGATATTTTTTTAGAGACGATTTAAAGGAAGGGAGCGTAGTCTTTGCTCTGATGTGTGGGGATAAGTTGTTCCACACCTGCACACCATGATATTTTATGGAGGTCTGGGACTACAGTAGGAGGAGCGCATGGGGGGTGGTCTTAGTAGCTCTGGGTGCCTTAAGTCGTATCTCTGATTATTCCGGAACTGGAAGTAATTATTGTCAAGCAAGTGATTGATAGATTTGTAAACAAAGAGGGCACAGCAGTAAGTGTTAATATCCTCGAATTTAAAAAAAATCAATATAGCAAATTTTTCGTTTGTGTGATCTGTTTTTATCAAGTAGGTCATTCTCCGTACAACTCTCTTTTGTGCAGTAACCAGAGATTGTGTTTTTGTAGAGCCAGAGGCCCCCATAGTGTGTGACAGTGTATCAGGTGTTGGTAAACAAGGTCATGATAGATTTCTTTCATTGCTGTGAGAGTGAGTGACTGTCGAGTGTGATACATGATTCCGCACTGTTTATTGACTTTACTGTGAATGGCTTGTATGTGGTTTCTCCAGTTAAGTTTCTCATCAACAATAACTCCGAGGAATTTAGTATTTTGTTAGCGTTTGAGGGCTATATTACCAAGGTACAGGGGGTTCAAGTCTGGCGGTAAGTTTTTTCTTTTGTGAAAGATCGTGTATTGGGTTTTCTCAAGGTTAAAGGTCAGTTTATTACGTATTACCCAGGTCTCGACTTTAGTTAATTCAGTGTTCATAGTTCTCATCAAGGAATTGAGATCTGAGTTGCTGGCATAGAGATTACTATCGTCTGCAAATAAGTTGTATTTTATGAGTGAGCTGGCGTGGGCTATGTCGTTTATATACAACAAAAACAGTACTGGACCGAGAATTGAACCTTGGGACTCCATACAAGATTGGCGAGGAATCAGATTGGTGATTATTATAACAGAGATACTGCATCCTGCTGGACAGATATGAGGTAAACCAATTGTGGGACAGGCACCTAACGCCGTAACGTTCAAGCTTTGAAAGGAGGATGGTATGGTCGACAGTATCGAGGGCTTTAGAGAGGTCCAAGAATATACCGACTGTGAACTGACTGTCATCAAAGGAATTTAAGATGCCATTAGTAAAGGATAGCAGAGCACTCTCAGTCGACCTTCTAGCTCTAAATCCAAACTGGGAGTCTATAAAGATGTTATTGGCATTGCAGAAGGAATTTTGTCTATTATACGCTAGGTTTTCCAGTATCTTACTCAAGGCTGGGAGGACTGATATGGGGCGGTAATTCTTGAAGAGACCTTTGTCCCCAGATTTTTTATATGCCGGGTGGACTTTAGCAATTTTCAGTTTATCAGGAAAGACACCACTAGTGAAGGAGGAGTTACAAATGTGGAGGAGAACAGGTGGGCCACTTTCTTAATGATGCTCATTGGTATATTGTCTTCGCCTGCTGATGCACCTTTGGACATTTTTATGATGGCCAGTAATTCATCTGCTGTGACAGGGAATAAGAATAGTTCATTTTGCTGTCTGTTTTGCAGGTAGGCTCTAAATTCCTCATGGTGATCAAGGATGCTCTCTGTAAGATTTTTGCCAACATTACTAAAATATTCATTGAAGTGGTTGGCAATGAGGGAGGGTTCCGTTATAACTGAATCGTTTATCATAAAAGCTGAGTGGGGGCCGAACGCTGAGTGTTCCTGTTCTGAATAGAATTTATGACATTCCAGGTTTTCTTACTGTCGCCTGATGCTGACTGGAGCTTATTTGTATAATAGTTACGTCTGGCATTTTTAACTGCTTGTGTTACTCTATTTCTGATACTTCGGTAAGCATCACCGAAAGTTATGGGAATTTTTGCAAGTTTCCTTTGGAGTTTGTGTTTTTCCTTTATCATTATCTTAATTTCGCTTGTGATATAGAGTTTGGAAATGGATACAGTTTTCACTGACTTAGTCTTGAGCGGGAAGCATTTACCAAAGCAAGCATTGAAGATGCAAGAGAAGTTACTGCTGTTCACGTTAGGGTTGTTGGAGGCATAGACAAGATTCCAGTTAGCATTCATTAGGTTGTTTTCAAAAAGGAGCATGTTGTCGGCGCAGTAGTCTCTGTATTGAATTGAGACTCTACTAGACCTTTCAGGTCTTGTGGCTGTTTTATACATGGCAAAAACTGTTAAGTGATCTGAGATATTGTTATAAATAATTCCACTTGCTAGGTTGTTAGGAGTGTTGCGAGTCCAGATATGATCTATCACAGTGGCATACTCTCTCATTGACCCCTATACTGTGACACATCCCTGACTCTCTCCCTCACTAACCCATCTCTCCTTACACATTCCCCCAAGGACTCACAATTAAAGATTATTACCCAGTAGGTCACTGAAAGATACTAATCTTCCTCTTCACCCTCCCCCCCCCCACCTCCCTCTCCTCCCCACCTTCACCTCTCTTATACCTCACTGTCACCACCAACACGTCATCATCAGTGGACCGTTCACCTCAGTAGTACAAACAAGTATAGAGCTGATGGAGTCAGTCTCTGGCTCAGGTGGTCATCTCCTTGGCTTCTGAAGTACCATAACAAACCAAACCCGGGAACTGCTAGAGGTTTGCTATGAATCATCTGTGTCGGCAGGAAAACCTTTTGTGTAACTTGAGATCGTCTTGTGTTGTGGTCTTCAGTCTTCATCCAGCTACTCACCCACCCACCTACCCACACCCACCTACCCACACACACACCAATCCACCTACCCACACACCACAACTTCCTCTAAAACTCAGCGTCATGATTGTGAGCCGCGGGTTGGTTTCGTTGTGGCTGCAGGTACTGATGACGACGACGCTGCTACTCATCACCTCCGCTCACAGTTTACCCCCCCTTATTAACGCCCTCTCCATCATACCCATTCGTCTAAATGCTATCTCCTTCACATTCAACACCAAGAAGAACCCCAAAGTTGTGTACGTAGACAGATCTCAAGGTGAAGAGCTTAGCCCCCTGGCGGTCGGATCTGGTAAATACAATGAAAGTAAACACGACGGAATCCCTGCTGTATCAAGTGAACCCAAGGATCCTGTGATGCTCTCCAAACCCGGCGCGAGTGAGGGCTGGGGGTACTGGTCCAGGAAGTTGTTGTTGCAGCCCATGGACCTCGCCCTCAAGTTGAAGGACGAGCTGTTAATCTACACCTCCTTTCCAGTGATCAACCTGGCCAACATCACCTTCAATTATTTCTTCCCTCCTGCCGACGACGCTCAAGTC